GGTAATAAAAAAAATCAGTGAAACTCTACTTAGAAGTTGTGATGCATCGCTGCGAGTAAAGTTTTACTGTATTTTCTTGATCGCCGTGAATGTCCTTCCAAATACTCAAGAATTAAGCTTACTTTGTAGACGAACAATCTGGCAGTAGACCCTCGAGGAAACGGATCCAATATAAAATAAACGTCAAAAATGTTACTGGCGCTGTTGCTGTTGGACCTCATGCAAGTGCGGGGATCAAAGGTAATTAGAAATAACTGAAAAGAAACCGAGCACACGTTATGATGATGATGCCCATCATATTAGAGCATTCAATACTGCTGAAATATCGAAGAAAAGTATCAATTAAATCTTCCTTAAGCCTCTGTCATCTTAAACCCGTATACTGCTTTTATTCTCGATATTATCAGACAAGTAGGTCAAGAGGAAGAAAAGGATTAGCTTTTCGTGAGAAAGGGTATGTCACGCAAACATCCGTTTTCGTCATTACTGCTCTTTTCGTTTCCGTTCGAGGGGATAAAAAAGGCGCTTGGCGGAACGCAAGAGAAAAGGCTAACTGAGGGAAAATTGGTAATTCGTAGAAAAACAAAGAGCTATTCATTTGCCTTTTGTTACTAGCATAAAATTATAGGTTCAGTAAAATTCGCGTACATTTAAGAGCTTGAAGCAACGAAACGATGAAGATTCAAGTTCTGAGGGACTTTTGAATTGGGGCGCCATGAACCAAAAAGCGATGAAACGGTACAACGTCATCATGTCTAAACACGTGATGCAAACTGGAAAGATCAGAAACAAAATATTGTTAGCGTCCAGTGTGGAATAAGAAAAATACAGAAGGCAAAAATCAAAATTTGTCACAGAACAATGGAAGACGTTTTGAAAAATTCGTTTGGAAAAACCTGGCACGAGTTTCAAACTTCTAACTGTTTTTCAGGTGATGAAGAAGTTCCTACTGAGACCGGACAATATCCAGACAATTCCGGAAGTGAAGAAACGATCTCTATGTCCAAGTGGTCAAACGAAGATTACTTCGAGAATCCGGAAAAATTCATCCAAGACATGGATGACAACGCTGGTCCACTCAAAGACGCCAAAGAAGACTTCCTTCTCCATAGCATCCTTCCCTATCTAGAAAAAACGTGGGGTAAATGTCCCTCTTCCAACGAAGAAGTATACGAGAACCTCGCCAAAATTTCTTGCAGCGCAAAATGTGCCAAAGTCGTGAGCCAAGCACTTCATTTGCTTCTTCATCTGACTGGTAAGGACAACTTTGACAACTGCTGCAACAATTTACTGGTTGTGGAAAAAATTGTAAGATCATCAATTCTCTCCTCCGAGGGATTGTTCAGAAGAGACAGGATCGATTCAGGAAGAGAAATGAAAGAGCTCAAACTGTGTGTGTACAGCCGTATCATCTCCTTGCTAGTCACGCATCAGTCTCTGAAAGGTGATTCCTTTATAAATTTTCTGGGACAAGATTTGAAAAAGCTTAAGGATGAGCTGAAGACATTTGGCTCGCAGCTGAGAAATAAAGCGAAGGATGGTCTCCGATATTCAACAGAGTTTATCATCAAAGCAATTAACCATCTTTTAAGGCCCAACGATAACTTGCAGGACTTTCTAGATGAATGTCGAAAGTTCTACCAGAACCAAGAAACCAAACTTGATGATTTGAAGGCTCTTAGTGAGCTTAATTATAAGAAGAAAGGCGAGTGGCGGATTGATCTACATTACATCGCTCTTCATCTCCAAGGAAAGGTAAGAGCTGAAAGTAGGAAGGAAGATTGAATTCGAAAATTAAGAAAGAGAAACCTAAAGTATGATGCCGTTCTATTGTAAAAACGTATGGGTAGCAAATACCAACAGCCTTTTCAACTGAAAGTGGACTTCCTTGAATACAAGTACTGGATCGGACAGTTGTCAGTTACGAACTCTGAGCTCACCTGTTGATGAACACGCCAGGTTTTAAATATGTACACAAATGAAGGTGTAAATTATGGAAAATTATTATCACCAAACAAAAGAAATTAAATTTCAACCTTTCATTGTAAAAAATAAGGGAAGCCACATGTTGAAACATGTTTCATGCAACAAACTGCATTTTCCTTTTTCTACAGGTGCGCAGTGAACGTCCAATTCCACGAATGGAGACCGAGAGAAGAGCTATGAACCTGCTCAGACTTCTCGTATTTAAGTACCTTGATGGAAATGGTGGACAGGACTGGAGGTTTTGTATGCTGGCAGCTACAATATTCTCAGACATTTCAATGAAGAACGAGACAAAAGGTGAAACAGAACTATCAATAGCAAAGAGTATTATTTCTGTTCGCGTTTTGAAGGTCAGAATTATATGACGTTAACGCAGGGGCAAAAAGAAATAGTGCTAAGGCTATACTGACAGTAATTATGAAACGGGCCATTAGTGGATCAAGGAGATCCCGTCTTAGTTCAAACTCGAAACTTTGCCAGCCAAGTCTCTCGATCCTATCATAGTCTAATATAAAGGTCATTTATTTGTTATTTTCCCCAAACAGAAATAAGGACAGAGGCAGGTAGTAGCTTGGCGTATCTTCTAAAAGATCCCCAAGTACGTAAGACTCCGGAGTGCAAGGCCATCATTCAGAGCCAAGCCGAGAAAGCGCTGTTCTCTCCTGATGTAGAAACCAGGACGTTTCTGACCCATTCTTTGAGTGAGAACATAAATCGGGAGGTAGAACTTGACACAATACAGCACACCAAACACCTTTCTTGGAAATACAAGACTCAGACACTGGAAATCAATGATACAACCATAAGTAGAAGCTCGACCTGCTTTGTGAATCATGCCATGTTCCAGAGACAGAAGGTGGCCGTTAAAGTTCTCTTGGTGAAAAGGCAGCATCTCGTGGAAGAGAACCCAAACCCTTCGGCTAAGGAGAGTCTGAAACGAGAAGCCGAAAACCTGAGACTATTAAACAAAGAACGGCAGGCAAAATTTCCAGTTTTGTTGGCATATGACACTAAAACTCTGCCATACCACCTCATTACCGCATTTGAAAAATCAGGGGACCTGTTGCAGTTTCTTCGGAGGTCGCGTGGGAGAAATCCTCCTCTTCAACCAGTCCAGCTCATTAAGATGCTGTTAGATATCACTGACGCTCTCCACTTTTTAGAAGTAAAAGGTTTGGTTCATCGCGCTGTAATGGCGGAAAATGTACTCGTCGGAGACAATTATATCTGTAAATTGAGTGGCATGCAACACCTTCGGCAGGTTACCAGCCAGGGTAAGACATGATTGAAGCTTGAT